CTGAGCTGAACTTGGAAGACAGAGTTGGCCATCCTGTACGAAGGAGGGACCTTTTGGGCTGAGAGAGCAGCTTAAGCAAAAGGCTTGGATAGGTACAGAGAATTCCAGGTTGTTCCAGGAAAGCATGTGGTTCCACTTGACTCTCGCTCAGGGTAAGTGGTGGAGGGACACAGAGGAAGGAGGAGGTGGCTGAGGAGCCCCCTGGGTTGCCTGAGCTGAGGAGTTGGAGACCAGGCTGAGCAAGAACGAGGCCCCATCTCCACTAAAGATAGAAGAACTAGGGCAGCACCTGTGTTGAAGGAGTAGGGCACCAACCCCATATATCAGAGGTGGAGTGTTCAAACCCGGCCCTGGCCAAACTGCAACAAAAAAAGAGCCAGGCATTGTGGCAGGCGCCTGTAGTCCCAGCTACTCAGGAGGCTGAGGCAAGAGAATTGCCTTAGCCCAAGAGCTGGAGGTTGCTATGAGCTGTGATTCCACAGCACTCTACCGAGGGCAACATAGTGGGACCCTGTCTCAAAAAAAAAAAAAAAAAAACAATAGAAGAACTAGCCAGGGACTGGCTAAGCAGCCCCCAGTTCATCTGCTTGATGGAGCCACTGAAGGTGTTCAGTGGTGTGAAGGTGGGGGCAAGGCCCAGGGTGCAGGGACGGGCGGCAACAGGTACAGGGAGGCAACAGAGAACAGAGAGGGAAGGGCCTGGCCACAGATGACTCGTGAGTTGGGAACCCACTATGTGGCTGTGGGTAGAGGAGCTCCAGGAGATAGCGGGAACCTGACAGGGTCTCCCACAGGCTGGCTGTTCTGGGATAAGCAACCACATTCCAGAGTCTGAGCCTGGGTTGTATGCTGAGAAATTTGATCTATTCCCATTTTAATCCAATTCCAGTAGCTCCTATTAAGATGAGGACCTTCGCCTTTCACAGCAGGAGGCCGAGTCCCGGGGAGAGGGAGAGCCCCAAAGTCACTCCACCAAGAAGTAGGGGGCCCACGGGAGAATAGCACAAAGATTCTCCTTAGTCACAGCTTCTAGATTTAAATTAGCCCAAGGCTACGGGGACAGGCTGTGAGTGCCCCTACAGTGCGTGCCGATAGCACCAGGCGGAGCCATTTCCCTCATACCCTGCCAGGGACAAGCGCCATGCGGCAGTGGCACCTCTCGAGGGCTGGGATGAGGGGATGCTGGGGGAGCACCAAGCTTGTGCTGCTCAGACCTAACAGGCCTTTGTAGACAGTGTTTCCCTAATGGTTCCCCATGAACTGTCACCAGTGCGGATATGCTGTTTTGTTCACCTGCTGTGGACCCGTCTGTGTTTTCCACATGAAAGGATGAGATTGTTTCCACCCCCAACCCCCATGACAAATTTCCTCTGCCTTAAGGGCAGTGTTAGCCCCAGATGAAATCTGGATAGCTTTCTAAGGACAATGAAGATTATTTGACAGTGAGGAGGGACCAAGGTGTCATCCAGAACACCAGCCTGGGGAGTCCTGGTTACTCAACAGGACACCAGAGCGAGGCCCCACATCCCAGCATGCATCCCCTGTGCCGTGTTCCACCCTCTTCTCAGACCTTGGGCTTCTTGTCTCAGCACATCTGATGGTGTGGGCAAGCAACTAGGGAAAGAAGGGACTTGGGGCCAGGTGCAGTGGCTCACGCCTGTAACCCTAGCACTCTGGGAGGCCAAGACAGGTGGATTGCTTGAGCTCAGGAGTTCGAGACCAGCCTGAGCAAGAAAGACCCCATCTCTACTAAAAATAGAAAAATTAGCCAGGTGTTGTAGCAGGTGCCTGTAGTCCCAGCTACTCAGGAGGCTGAGGCAGGAGGATCACATGAGCCTAAAAGTTGGGGATTGCCATGATTTGTGACACCATGGTACTCTACCCAGGGTGACAGAGTGAGACTTTGTCTCAACCAAAAAAAAAAAAAAGATACTTAGGAGATTCTGGGATGTGGATTAGAATGTTATAAGTAACGGCGGGGCTTTCAGTTTGGTGTCTTGGTGTCACAGAAAGAAAGTGCTGAGATCTGATGTGGCAAAAATACATATATTAGTGAATTAACTAGAAAATAAAACACCAGCAAGTGCCCATGTGCACAGAGCACGTTAGTGTCAGGAAGGTGGGCAGCCTCGATGTCCGTGTGGCCCAAGGTTCAGAGATGGTCTCAGGAAGGTGTGGACATGCACTGAGCCCAGGAGGACAGCTGCAGCTCAGTGGAGGGGACAGTGTGGGGCCCAGGAAGAGGTACTAAGCTCCACACATGGGGTGGGGTGGGTTGGGCCGGTGCTGCAGCTCGGTGGAGGGGACAGCTTAGGGACCAGGAGGAGGCACTAAGCTCCACACATGGGGTGGGGTGGGACAGTGCTATAGCCCGGAGGGGCTGCTTGGAGCCACAGTAGCACCTGAGGGCAGTGGCACCAGACCAGCAGCAGCCTGTCTGGGGCCAGAGATCCCAGACTCTGTTGAGGTCAGAACATCAGAGACGCGTTCAGCGATCTGACTCTGTTCCCTTTCTCAGCGTCTCCGTGGTCCCCTCGGGCCGGCCCTTCCTCACGTGTGTGCAACTCAACTCCTTCTCTCATGTGCAAAAGCAGAGACCCTTTCTGTTGACTGAGCTCTGACTCTGTTTCCATTGCAATTTTTGTACCAGACCCAGAGGTGGGCCCCCTGCAGTTGAAGGGTGTTAGGTAGGTGCCAAGGCCCCCTCAGCCTGTCTCTTCCGGCCCTGGCATTGTTATGGGAAGGGGCAACTGTCACATTTGCATGCGGAAACTTCATAACTTCGTTTTTGTACTTTGGAGCCTTTTGAGGATGAGAAGCTTAATTTTTAACCTAAATTACTATCAGTTAAAAGTTAAATTACAAAAGGTTATAAATGTGTAATGAGGTGCATAATATTACATAACATGTAATCACATGTGTAATTGTAAGCCCCAGACTCAATTCAAGCACCACTCTGAGAGTCTGAATCGCTGCAAAAGCATGAGGAGTTTTTATTCAAGCTCAGAGCTGGGCTGCCCCTTTAAGAAAAAGTGGGAACAGCCCTTACAGACTATCCAGAATGTCCCTTTATACCCCTCCCTCTTCCCTCCCATTAGTCCATCCCACCCCATCTCCTTATTGGTAGGTAAACCACATCTGTCCCATACTGACAGGTACAGGGTGTTTGTGTTCTGGGCTGATTGGCTCAGGGATGAATTCTCTTTGTCTCAGGTGAGCAAATAAGAAGAAAAGGATAAACTTGTGCAAAGGGGGCAAGTGGGGCGTGTGCAGAGTAGAGTGGCAAGTGCAAAGAGGGGAGGGGGTCAGGATGTGGGCTGAGTGCACAAGGGGACAAGTGGGGCATGTGCAGAGTATAGTGGCAAGTGCAAAGAGGGGAAGGGGTCAGGATGTGGGCTGAGTGCACAAGGGGGCATGCCCAATACCCAGGTATGCGATAAGGTCCTCGGTATGTGGCCGCCTGTTGTTCTGAGTAAACAACAAAAAGGAGTTAGTTTGATTTGAGTTAGTTTGGCTCTCACATAATCATATAACTATTAAAATCAGGTAAAGTCATGACAGAGATGTCATACTCCTTTGTTGGACCACACCCGTGTCTATGCACCTGGGAGATTCTGGCCCTCTGCATGTGTTTGAACAATGAACTCTACTCCTCAGGGCTTCATCAGCTGGTTTTGGGGTTCGAGTTCTTTTCTGCTCCCCTGTTTCAGCAGAATTCTTGGCACTTCTGCCAGCCTGGGCGGCAGCCAGGACAAAAACTGGGACCCCTCTGTGTGCCTGGGCCAGGGGAAGAGCTTGTCCGGAGCTTTGAAGTGTTGTATGTGTGGGATAGGCACTGAGGAGAGCGGGGAGCCCTGCTGCATGGGTACCTCACTAGCCAGGGATGAAAAGGGGCACAAGTTTTCCAGAAGACTCACACATCTCACCTACCTGTCCAACACTGTCAACTCCAAAAATTCTACGGGCATGTGGCTCATGCCTGTCTGTAATCCTAGCACTCTGGGAGGCCAAGGTGGGTGGATTGCCTGAGCTCAGGAATGGAGACCAGCCTGAGCCAAGAGCAAGACCTCATCTCTAAAAAAAAAAAAAAAACTAGCAGGGTGTTGTGGCGGGTGCCTGTAGGCCCAGCTACTTGGGAGGCTGAAGCAAGAGGATCACTTGAGCCCAGGAGTTTGAAGTTGCTGTGAGCTGTGACACCACAGCACTTTACCAAGGGTAACAGAGTGAGACTCTGTCTCAGAATAAATAAAACGATTTCGTTTCAGAGTGCTGTGGAATCACCAGCCTTCAATTCCTTTTGTGGATAATTCACACCTATAGGCTTTCCCTGAGGCTTCCAGATTGGGAATTGGTCACCTGGATTGAGGCTTTAGTGAAGAGTAAACTAAATAATTGGTCATTGGTTATTGCCTGAAAAAAGAACTGGTATATTCTCTCAAGCCCTTGCAAAGAATAGTTCAATTGTTTTCTGTAGGCCCACCTTGTGGTGCCAGTCTCCCCTTGCCCTTCAGACACTGGAAAGCAGCAGAAGGCAGTTCTTTATTCCTGGTGCCACAAGTGTCCTGAATGGGAGAGAAAATGGGGTACTCAGTGTTCTCCGATAGAGTTTCTGAGTTCCCCAATTAGTCCTTCCCCAGGACATTAAGCATTCTGTCTGCCGTCTCACACTGCCTTTCAGAGCTCGGTAAACACAAGGGCAGAGACTCTTGATGGATTCAGGCTTTCTGATTTATTTTCCCTCAAGGTACTTAATCAAGAAATGTAAGTCATTTACCTTTCCAAAGCGCCCTCTTCTTCCCTGGAGGCTGCTGTGGAGTCTTTCTCATTTCTCTTCTGCTTCTAAACTCTTTGAAGGGCTGGAGTCTACACTGAAATGATCCAGAACTTTGCCCCTAGAGATTGCTTTCTCCCCCAGCATGGTGGGCAGAGCTGTCCTTCCCTGTGGGCCCCAGAGGATGGAGGACTTGTGACATAAATGTCTCTGTTGTGGTTTTTTCCAGAGCTGGTGATGTTGCTGGAGTGGTGGTCGGGCACAGAGTGCACCATCTTCAGTGACCCACAGGCCTACACCAAGTACGGGAAGGAAAATGCCATCGTGGTTCTGAACCACAAGTTTGAAATCGACTTTCTCTGTGGCTGGAGCATGGCCGAGCGCTTTGGGCTCCTAGGGGTAAGTCGGAAATGCCTTTGCGCACCTGCCTGGTACCTTTCACTGCTTCTTTGCTCTCAGTCATTCAGAATTTACAGAAGAATCGACAGTTTCTACTTGGGGAAAAGCTCTTAACCACTTTTTATTCTTGCTTGCAGTCAGGATTAGCATCTTAGGATAATATGAGAGGTTCTCAACAATTACAACCCACCAGGCATTTTACATGTAATTGGTTCCTTTAATTCTTACAGAAACTTTATGCACCGGGTGGTATGCCACTCTTCAGGCTCTTTCAAATCCCTGCTTCCCCCCACCCCCAATCAGGACTATAGGGCCAGTGTTGGGTCCCTATGTGGTTGGCCTTTTTTATACCGTTTCTAATCCTTAGGACATTACTATTCACATTTTATAAACTCTCAGAGCCTCAACTTGGTTAAGTAATTTGCCTAAGTCTGATTTCAAGGCTTCTTCCCCTCAAAGGCACTGGGCAGATAAACTGTTGCAGCCCCAGGGACCACAGACCTGCTCCAGAGACCCAGCAGGGGTCTGACTGTTGTGGGGACCAGGCCTCCCCCTGCAGGCCAAGGCCATCTACACCCCCGTGGAGTCAGGGGCAAGCTAACAAAGCAGGACGCAAACAGAGGAGCTCCCAGAAGCACCCAGACACCCAGGTTGGCAGTGACAGGGAGGCACAAAGAGGGTGGCAAAGGCAGTCTGTCCACCTGTCACCCAAGTCAGTCAAGGAGAAGTGGATAAGAGATGAACAGTTTCTCTTTTGTTTACAGAAAAGCCAGAGGTTCTGGATGGCAGCAGGGACATCTCCCCAAGGACTGCTCTGCTCCCTCTTTCCCTCTGTTACTTTTTATTCTCACAGTAAAAGGAAACATCAGTAGTGTCATTACTCGTGTCAGATTGCCCCTCACACGTTACAAAGTTACACAGAATCTTCCTATCTTAAAGTGGTTATATCTTCAAAGCATTTTTACTCTAGACTGAATTTATAGTTAGTCAGCACTTCACTGGGGCACAGAGAGCGCTAGGTCCTTGACTAGTACCGTGGAGTCCAGTCCCCCAACTTATCTGTGACAGTGGCCTTGAAGTGAATGAACCATCTCCAGATGTTGCACGTGGGCCCTTGTTAGGGCCTGACCAGCAGTGTCCAGCAGGACACGGCCCATTTAGGAGAACAGCGGCCGGTGACACGTACGCAGAGAAGAAGCAGCACCTGATGAGGGAGCCAGGCCCAGAGTCAGGGAGAGGCTGTCACAGAGCAGTAGCTGGGCGCCAGGCTTTGGAATCCGTGATCATGTGACATCTCTGAGTGAGAAGTAGGAGCCGATGAGCAGTTAGTCAGGAGATGCCGGCACTGCCTACAGCTTGGGGACTTTGCATCTCTGCCTTGATTTTGTAAATGAACACAACACTATCCTTTATTTCTATGAAAACCAAACAACCAGTACAGTAGGCAAAGGAGTGTGGGCATTGCCATTGGTTTTGGAGCCTTTCTGGGTATTTGGGAGTCTTAGGAAACCCCACCTCAAGGTGACGGGGATGGGGTTACAGGTCATGAAGCCAATACCTCTCCTGGAAGTTTGGGAGCCTTGCTGTGGGTTTTCTGGATTCTTGCTAAACTGGAAGGAGAGTCAGAAGCCCGTGAACTGCTTTCCCCTCTTCTCTGGACACCAGAGAGACAGCCACTGTTGCTGTGCAAATTCTAATGAAGCGGAGAGCAGGCTCCACCCCAAGAAAGGGGAGGACAGAACCTGGGGGCACACTGGCCAGCTCGAGAGCAAAGTACCAGACTATACCAACTGGCCTCTCTGTGTCTGGGGACAAGTCCTGACCTCCCCCAGAGGAGCTGCCACCCAGGTGGGGCACATGCTGGTGGGTGAGGCGCCTCTGTCCAGGCCTGTTAATTTCTGCTGCCCTTGACACAGGCTAAGAAATGGCATTTTGTTATATTAATTGTTCAGCACCATCTTTTGTCTTCAATGACCTTCAAAAGAAAAAAGAAACGACCTCATTCATCTCCTTCTTTTCTTTTATAATAGCACATGATGTTGAGATCTTTCTGGAGTCTAAGGAATTTGCTTTGTAAAGACTCAAGGAAAAAAGAAAATTCGTGACGAGGCGTTTTTCATTTCCCATCCTCCCCTGTACAGCCTGGAGGAAATGAATTCAAATTGAAGTCAATGAGATATGCAGAAATTCTTGAAGGTGGTTATTAAGGTGTTAAATTAGTGTTGAGGGAAAAGTGATAGATGTCTCTTAAAAAAAAGAGAGAGAGAGAGAGAGAGGTTTTCAATTTCTTCAAAACACTTCAGATCATGTGTGGCCCATGGTCATTCCAGTGACCCATCCCTGGAGGCTCTGGTCCCCTGGGAGCCGGCACGTCCTGACATGGGTCAGGGCCCCAAAGCTTTGGTTGTGATGTGGCCTCACACACTGGGGCTGAGTGTGACAAGTGCACACATGCTGCCTCTGCCATTCAGGTGCCAAAGACACAGGTGTGTGGGCACCGCCTGGGGTTCCTGAGGTCTCGGGCCCCCTTTTGTCGTCTTGTCTCTGGCTGGGACCCCAGCAGGCCATATAGGATGGTGATGGCGAGGCCCCTGCAGCACCAGGCCCAGCAAGGACTCCGGGAACAGTAGCTACTGTTGTCAGAGTTCGTTTGTGGGCAGCTTGTGGCCTGGAGCTTAATTCTCAGGCCAACTGGGGTATTTTTCTTCAATCCTTTAAAGAAGCCATATGGGCTACTTATCCAAGGCAGCTCCCTGAGCCCCACAATGCAATGGCTTAACCCAAAAAGCACGTTCACAATCAGCTCCCTTCACATGGCCGGGAATCCAGGGGCAGACTGGCCAGTGTGTGCCCTGCCTCTAAGCTCCGCCATGGCTGCGGCCAGGCCTGCCTCCCTCACCTCGGGGCCTCTCCACAGGGTTTCCCTGGGACTTGGCAGCTGCTTCGCCCAGGGCGACTCACTGTGTGAGAGAGACAAGAGGAACTCGCAGCGATGTCCTACTGCGTCCATTGTGCTCGGACAGTAAGCACAGCCACACTCTGGAAAATGCCACTGCCCCTTCTAACATTCCCCCACGTTGCAGGCTTCCTGTGTTCTGTCTTTGAACATCCAAAATTTAGCAATAAAGGAATCCTTTGAAAAATGAATCTACATCTTCTGTCGTCAGGCATCAAGGACGCTTATTTCTTTTTCTCTCCACTTACTCCAGAATGATCCTCTGGCACGGGTGGCAGGGCAGAGGCTGAACATGTGTCGGCAAAACTGAAAGATGGCTTAGAGTCCCAGACACGTGGAGCTGAACTCAGCTCACTGCATTTTCCAGCTCTGTGACCTTGGGGAGATTTTCTGGCTTTCCTGAACCTCTGTTAATTTCCATTAATGAGATAATGTATGTAAATACCAAGTTTGAGAGCCTAGCACAAATAGATGGAAAAGAATTACCCATTTCCTGACTCTGATTAGCTGTCTGTCACCAACTGTTTTGTATTATGAAAAATAGGATATGGTTGTGGAGTGTGGGAGAGATGAGTGTTGTCCTACAAGGGATTGGCCCAGCTGCCCTGCATGAGCCCCTGCAGCTAAACCCCCATGGTTTTCTTTTCTTTTTTTTCTTTTTCTCTGAGACAGAGTCTCTCTTTATCACCCTCAGTAGAGCTATGGCGTCACAGCTCACAGCAACCTCCAACACCTAGGGCTTAGGTGATTCTCTTGCCACAGCCTCCCAAGTAGCTGGGACTACAGGTGCCCGCCATAACGCCCAGCTATTTTTTGCTGCAGTTTGGCCAGGGCCAGTTTGAACCCGCCACCCTCTGTATATGGGGCTGGCACCCTACTCACTGAGCCACAGGCGCCGCCCAACCCCCATGGTTTTCATGTACCACAAGGCCTTGCTCCATTGTCCATACCCAGCCTCTTCATGCACGCTGGGCTGTTGAGTGCCTTTTTGTTTGAGAGAAGGTAGGAATTTGTTTCCAGATGAGGGGGGTGTTTCTGATGACACACCTGCAGCCATGGTTTGCACCCCCCTCCCAAGGCTGGGATCACTCGGGTGTGTGACACATGCCCTCTGGGATCATGCATGTCCTCTGGGATCACGCATGCCCTCTGCCCCACCAGCACCAGGCCCTTGTTCTGCAGGCACAGCTGTCACATCACGCTCTGCCTCCAACCACTCAGATCTGGCATCTTGTGGCTAAGGAACCTGAGACAATGGTGGCAAACAGGGTCATCAGGCAATTTATTGGCCTAAGACAGGAACGGTCAGCCAGGGAAGTGCAGGTGCACCTTGAGCTTGTGATAACTGAGTGCAGTCCTGGAGCAGCAGTGCAGTCCCACATCTGACATACAGGGTCTTCTTCTTCTTCTTCGATTTTTTTTTTTTTTGAGACAGTTTGATTCTATCTCCCTTGGTAAAGTTCCGTGCATCACAGCTCACAGCAACCTTAAACTCTTAGGCTCAAGAAATTTTCTTGCCTCAGCCTTCTGAGTAACTAGAACAACAGGCAGCTACTTTTTCTATTTTCGGTAGAGATGGGGCCTCACTCTTGCTTAGGTTGGTCTCAAACCCATGCACTCAGGCAATCCACCTGTCTTGGCCCTCCAGAGTATGGTATTACAGGCGTAAGCCACCAGGTTCAGCCCAAGGGCTTCTTTTTCATTGAATAGAATCCTCTGGTGATGTCTTAGGTCCAAGTCTGATCACACCAGCCACCTGTGACCCCAGGAAGGCATACAGCAACGCGCCGTGCGGCTTCCTGCCTCCTGTAGACAGCCCTCGGCAAAGGTGTAAACAGCCCTTGGCAAAGGCTACAGCCTGTGGCATCTACACTGAACGGACTGTGTCACCCACCAACTGCTCTTCCTTATGCCCACCTGCTGTGCACTCAGGTCCCTCCTCTGACCCCTCCTCTGGCCCCTCCTGTGGCTCCATCCACCTGCACTTTGTGCAGCTAGTTATTCAGCAAATACCTACTGGCTATGTGGCATTGGCACAGGAAAATGCCAAGTCACCTCTGCCCTTGTAGTACCCTGCTCCCCACCTTCCCCTAATGCCTCTGCTCTGCCTCCCATTCCAGGGAGACTGGGCTGGCCATTGAGAGCAGTACCCAAGAGGGGGCTGTGAGGGCCTGTGTCCAGGAAGGGCTTGGTGCAGGCAGGGGGCTCCTCTCTTCCGTTCTGTCCTGGCAGCCGTGACCCTAAGTCTGCTGTGGTCAATACCATGGGGGTCAAAGCCTTCTTGTTGGTCCCCAGATACCCCTCCTTCCCCACTGCCCGTCTGCACACCCGGCACATGGGTGAGGAATGGGAGGCGGGTGGCTTCCCCCTTTGATAGAGAGGGGTTCTTAGAGCTTCTGCCTCTCCTGTGTCTGATGCGTGTCTGCTGTGGTCACATCGCACTGTAAAGCAGAGTTCATTCACTTCAGGAGCCTCTTGGTATTTTTCTGGTGGTCTAAGGTCCATGACGTTTCCTCTCAGCATCAGAGAAGTTCGAAAGCAAGAGATAGGCATGTGGCAGAGCAGGGCCGGGCCACGTCTGTGCCAGTGCCGTGGCAGGAACGAGTGTCTCCCCCTTTCACACACTCGTGCACACAGCGTGTCCTCGGCCCCCGCCAGCTAGACACGCACCACAGACATGGAGTCACCTCCAGGACAGCGCGGCTGCAGCAGCCCACATCTGACTCCTGCTTTTTATTGTAATGGGGGACTCCGATTTCAGACACCGTGGCCTGTACTGTCCTTTCTCGCATAATCCTCTTTCGAGGTGGAGTGGGATGTTCAAAGACTCGCTTCCAGGCTTAGTGTCAGAGACGGAGCACAAGAATTGTCAACTTTCTGTTTCTTCCCACTGGATTTTAAGTCCCCCAAAGCCACTGCCAGTGACATGCGATTCTGCACTGCCCTGGCATACCCAGGTTCTTAAGCAACACCTTCTCATGGAGACAAAAGCCTGTGTGTTCAGGGCCCCAGTCAGATGAACGATGTGTCACACATCACAGCAGAGGCTGGACCGTTGGCTGCCTGGCTGGTTATCTACAGAGACTGGGCTGGGCAGTGTAGCCGGTCTCTCTGGAACAGAAACATTTGGTGTGGTGTCTTCAGCTCAAGTCAGGAAAACAGTCAGGTTTCAAGTATGGATTTGCCTATTGTCAGCCAAAATCTCACCAGTTTCCAAAGTTGAGCTTACGATAGTCCTGCTTATATATTTATTAGAAATAAATGACCTTGGATGAACCCAAATGACTAACTGGTCACCACATTGGCAAACCTCCAGGAATGGTAGGACATTTGCAAGCGGTGCCAGGGCCACCTGCTGCCTGTTGTGGGTCCCCAGGGGGCAGCAAAGGGTCATCAAAGGCAACCACTAAGACCCACTTGGGTCCTGTGGGATAGAACCGTTCATAAGAAAAGCCCCTGTGATTGCTTCTCCCTGGCATCACTGGCTGTCGAGACTCAGCCCCAGTGATGCTACTCAGGAGCGCCTGGTCCCCGTCTTGGCTGCAGAGCGGATCATCTTCCCTCCTCCCTCGTGCTGCTGTGCATTTGTTTGGCATGAGTTCAGTTTCACGTGATTTTATAAAGTCATCTTAACCTACCAGGAGCACAAATTTAGGTTACTTGTGAAGATTTTTTTGTTTCATTTGTTCTCATCTTAAAGACTATGATTAGGGAGGTCACAGAAACAGAGGGTAGGGGACATGGAGAATGCCCCTTGCTGGAAAGAAGGGGAGCGAGGGGACCTCCCCTGGCCTGAAACCCAGTGTGGACACAGGTCAGTGGTTCTTGGTGGGGGAGGGGACAGTTTGTTTTCATGCTTTTGGGTGACAGGCATATCCTCCTCAGCTAGAGCCTGAGAAATCAGGATAATTACAGCAGCCAGGGCAATTTAGTTCACCCTTTTAGGATTTTAACGTAACCATACAGAAAGGAGAAAGGTTAGTGACAACATGGGTATTGGCTCAGGCACAGCAGGTCCTTGGGCCCCACTATCTAGACGGACACTACAGACAGGCTGGGTCCATGACAACAGGGAGTCACCTCCAGGACAGCGCAGCAGCGGCAGCCTAAGGCGTCTACGTTTCCAGGCTATTGTCTCCCGAGTCATGCTGTGAGGTCTGCAGCCACGGCGGAGGCAGGAGGACAAGCCGGACCGCTTGGCCATCCTTCCTCCTCTCCTGAGGCCCCACCACACATAACCCTCAGCAGGCCTAGGGCCACACCAGCTCTCAAGTTGATGACCAGCTAGGAGACAAGGACTCTGTCACCCTTGGTCATCCCTAAGACCCAGAAGACGGTCCTCTGGCCCTGAGCTTGTTGCCCTCAGAACCCGATGAAGAGTCTGTTATTGCAGGAAGAGCACAGCAGTGGCTGTCGGCCTGAGGCCTCGGTGCTCACCCAGTGACACCAGGGCCTCAGGCTCAGTCACCCGAGCAAGATTCTCGGCTCTTAGCCACGCGATGCTCAACTCTGGTCCACTCCGCGTCTGACCGTCTGTGCAGTGGGAGTAGGTATTCCTGGGGGTTTAGAATCACACGGTTTACAGCCAGTGCCCGGCCTCAGAGCCCACCACCGCTCCTGAGAGTTCTCACCACGAGGACTTACCCCCGAGGCCTCTGGGGCAAGCTTCTATTTTAGAGCTTAGGTTTTCTTGTTGGGTTTGTGCGAAAAACAAAATCCATCCCAGATAGAGATGCTGTACTTGAACCCTGTGCCTTTTCTTGCCTGCATGTGGGAAGAAGTTTGTTGGTTTTAAGAGTGAGGTGGCAGTTATTTGGCTGTTTTGCCATCTCAGTTCTGCATGGCGGAACGGGGTGTGGCTGGCTGCCTTCCCTGTGCCAAACCTCAAAGTGGCCATGGGATGTGATGGCATCTCTGCCTGCCTGAGCCTCGCTCCTGGCCCAACCTTGTGCCACTACTGACCTGAGAACCCACAGGCCTCATGCTTCACACTGTGAACAGGACTCCCATTTGCCATGACAGCCTGGCTGAGGCTGGAGGGAGAGCCAGGGGAAAGACGGCACAGGTTAGGGTCACACACCTGCAAGGTGGGCAGCCCTCTCCTGGCCTCCTCCCAGTCTCCTGTACCCACTGACGGTTAAGACAGCTTTGGGCACTAGCTGACAGGTGGGAAGGGCTCCAGGGTCAACAGCTGTGACTTCACTGTGTTCTGGAACTGTCCCCTGAGGCCATCAGAGTGGATGTTTACTCTCCTTTGTCCCAGATCTTCAACAGCCTAGGGAGGTGACTCTGATGTCTCTTTCACTAACATCTGGGCTCCTTCCTCTGTTTCAGGGTTCCAAAGTCCTAGCCAAGAAAGAGCTGGCGTATGTCCCCATAATCGGCTGGATGTGGTACTTCACCGAAATGGTCTTCTGCACTCGGAAGTGGGAGCAAGATCGCAAGACAGTTGCCACCAGCCTGCTGCACCTCCGGGATTACCCTGAGAAGTACCTTGTACGTGGGTATCAGAGCAGCTGTGCTGCCACGGCTCCCACAGGGCTGGGGGTGACCAAGGGACCCTGTGTGTCTTCCATGGGGTGACAGGTGACTGTGGTCATGGATGACCATGTGACCATGGGACTGGGTGTGACTGAGGGACTCTGTGTGCCTTCCATGGGATGACACATGACCATGGGTCATGTGTGACGGCGGGGGGGCGGTCAAGTGTGACTGTGGGGTCGTGTGTGACCATGGGACGGGGTGTGACTAAGGGACCTGTGACTGAGGTCATGTGTGCCTTCCTGGGATGACATGTGATCATAGGGTCGTGTGTGGCTGTGGGTCATGTGTGACCTCAGGACCCTGTGTGACTGCTGCCCTCTGCCCCTCAGTTCCTTATCCACTGCGAGGGTACCCGGTTCACAGAGAAGAAGCACCGGATCAGCATGCAGGTGGCCCAGGCCAAGGGGCTGCCCAGCCTCAAGCACCACCTGCTGCCGCGCACCAAGGGCTTTGTCATCACCGTGAGGAGTTTGAGAAATGTAGGTAAGGAAGATGGCGGAGTCCCCGCGCGCCCGCTGCAGCAAGGATAGCCGACCCCGCTGCCCTCTGACGGGCAGGCCTTGTTCCCCAGCACTGCTGCCCAGCTGACCTGTGGCTAGGAACTGGGGTCTCTAAATTGGGTCTCTGAGTGCACTGGGAACCAGGGACAAGGGACGCACACACAGCTTGTGGGCACCTGACTGGCCCTGCACTCCTGGGGCATCCAGGCCAACACTGCCCTCTGCTGTCAACAGTGGCACTGCCACCTGCAGACCAGGATGCCCAGTGGGTTTGGGGCCATTTCTTGCCCCCTGCTGGCATCAGCTGCCTGCAGATGATGAACTCTGACCTGTGGTCTGTCACAGCCCACCCTGGATAGGAAGGACATAGCAGCAGAGACTTGCCACAGGCCCTTGTGGTCCTTCTCTCTGTCTCCTCTAATCCTCCTCTCTCCAGTTTTACACACACTTCCTCCCTCACCCACACTGTCCTTGGCCCTGGCTCTGAAGGAGATGTCCCTTTCCATGGGGCTGGATGGGCCTCAGCCAGCCTAGGGCAGCTCAGTGGCTAAACAGGTGCCTTCCCCACACCCTCCCAATGCCAGGCACATGAGTAAAGCTGGCTGCATCCTGGAGGCAGTGCTAAGCATGTTCTGTCCCTGGAACCAGGATAGAACCTGCGCTCCGCACCAGGGCCTGTCCTCAGGCCTCCTCACCTCCTCTGGAGGCAAAGGGCAGAGCCCCAAACTCTTATCAGGCAGGCCTACCTCTGGGAATCAGTGGGGATCAGAGTGCAGCTGTCTCTGCCATGTGGCCACATCCCCAGCCCTGCTGGCCTCCCTAGAGGACCTAGAGCAATAGGGCAGGTGGACATGTACCTGTAACAAGTCCCCGAGCAGCCTGCTGCTTCCAGAGCTCTGCGTGGTGCATTTAGACCCCTGAGCCAGTGCCCCCTGCCTGGCCCTTGCAGCCTGGCCCTACCCCACCCCTACTGACCCACACCCTGAAAGCTGCCTGTTCCTGTCTGGGGGCTACAGGAGCCTAATCCAGGCTGGCCATGGCCCTGCCCTCCCCTGAGCCCAGTTGACTGCTTTCTTCTTCCTCAGATTCTTCCCTTTTCCCTTGTGTCCCCGTGTTCCCCCACCCCATGCTCCACACACAGTCAGGGCTGCCTCCAGTCCTCATGAGACCAGCCAGCCAGCTCCCATTGCCAGGCAGGGCAGGAAAGTGGGTTCTCAGGAGTTTACTTGGGCTTGCAGAACCAAGGCCTCCGGGGAGGGCCACCTCCAAGCTCCTGTCCTCGGCCTGCACCTCCCTCCTGAGCCTGTGTGGCAGAGAGGGGCCCCCTTTGTCTACAAGCCTCTGTGATTCAGGAATTACCCCCGGGCCTGCCTCCACTTGACCCAAACTAACCAGAGCCAAGGAGAACCCTGCAGCTCATCCGTGCTTCCATATCCCAGACACAAACCCCTGCATTCTGTGCCACCCTGCAGAGTGACAACAGTGCGGGCTCTGTGGTCAGGGGCCCTGCCTTAAATCTTGTTTCCCCTGCTAACCAGCTCTGTGACTCTGGGGAGGTAACCTCACCTCTATGATCCTAACTTTGGTCTGAGTTCTGTAAAACCTGTCAGGCTTGCAAAAATACATGTAAAAGATTTAGCATCCTGTCTGGCACTTAGTACCCCAAAGAGAGTGTCGTTACGAGCCATTGGCATCTCAGCACATGGGCGCCAAGCTCTGTCTGTCTTTCCTCATCCTGGTCCACTCCTCTAGGTTGGACCAGTGAGTTTTGCCTCCATTTTGCCCCCTTCAAGCTGTCAGCCCCCCAGCTGCTACTCACAGAGAAATTAACAGGCTCCCATAGATAGCGGGCCCCAGGGAGCATGGGATCAGCCAGTGCTGTGAGCATCTGCCCTGGAGGGTGGCCTCACCAGGACCAGGGAGGGGACAGGGCCAGGGCACATGGGATCAGCCAGGCCCTGTGAGCTCTGGAGGGCGGCCTCACCAGGACCAGGGAGGGGATTCCTTTTTCTTTTTATCTTTAGTTCACGGATAAGGATATTGAGGCTCAGAGAAGTTAAGGAGTTTTGTCCAAAGCAGGTCAGCCAGTCCCTGGTGAGCCAGGAGTCAAGCGGAGGCGGGGGCTGGCCCCACTCCCCATGGGCTCTGTAGTCAGAGGCAGGCCCTGTCCCTCATGTAATGCACGAGACTGGTGCCAATCACTGCTTTTCAGGCTGCTCCTTGGGGAGCTTCTGGGGCTCTCCAAGCCTCTTGTTGTCCAGATGGGTCCCTGTGTGACAGCTGGTTGGACGGAAAGGGGTTGAGAAGCTGCTGGATTGCATGAGCTGTGTACCCCTGTGATTAGTCACACGCCACGCAGCCTGAACGGCTGTCACTGTAAATGCACTTCTGTGCTTTAATGTGTTGGATGGCCCTACTGGGCAGTTCTTTTGAGGATGGTGAGGGAGGACAGTCAGGCCTCCAGCCCCAAGGAAGGGAGCTTGCTCTCGGGCACTTGGGCCCTGCCCCCAGGTACCCCTGCAGGCCAACAGGAGGGACCCTGTCCCATGGCAGACAGTGCACCTGCAGACCCCACACCCTGTCAGGCAGCAAGTAGAAAAAAACAGACCACAATTTTCTTACTGTTTTTGAATCTTGGTTCTTCACATTCCCAGCCAGACCTTAGGCCTTTCTTCCCTTCCATCATCCCCCGTTCCTTTTACTAATAATGACGGAACATGGGGAAAGCCCTGAGTCAGGCGTCAGCCTCATCATTTAGTGGTATGATGGGTTCTGCAGCAGTGCCTGACACTGTCATCTCAGCAGCCCTGTGACGGAGTCACCCGACCCTCTTCCCTGGGGGTGAGTGGCTGCCCAAGAGAAGATGCACTGCTGGGATCCACACCCAGGCTGGCCCCGACACTCTTCTCCTCGCTGGAGAGGAGTCGTCCAGCAGTGACTCACACTTCAGTACGTGGCCATGTGTCCCCACTTGGAATTCCTCTCTTCTCCCTCAGTGGTGCTTTCCTCCATCCTCTGGTCTGATAGCATGTACCAGGCACAGGCCTACAACGGTGAATTCTTCTGACATGTGACTGCTTAACTCACCATTGGGCAAACCCATTAAAATCACACTTATTTCTCGGCCATGTCTCAACTGACTCCAATTCCTTAAGCAGTTTCTAGTCAGTTTCTCATCAGAGGATAATTTCGTAGCTATCTTATTTTTCTAGAGAAAAGAATGCTCGTAGAATGGTTATGCTGCTGTCACTTAGGTGATCCTTAGACAGTGTGCCTTGGATTCATTTGTCTGGCTGTGCATACTTGCTTACATTTTGGTATTTCTCGACCACGACAGGCTGCACATTAGAAAGTCACCAACCACTGTAGTGGTACCTTCAGACCAGACACTGCAGTGTTACTGATCTGACCGCAGTCACGACCTCGCTTCCATTGCTAAGTTACAGTGGATTTTCTGATTACAAATGACACATGTTCAGTGTAGAACGTCTGCAGGACACAGGAAAGCATGGAGAAGAAAGCTGTGATTGCACCACCCCTAGATAACCAGCTAGTGACTTGATGATTGTCTTCCAATGTGTGTGTCTGCAAAACAAACTTGGGTTCACACGCTATATACTGCTCTGTATTTGTTTTATTTTTTATAGTTTCAGCTGTATATGACTGTACACTCAATTTCAGAAATAATGAAAACCCAACACTGCTGGGAGTCCTAAACGGAAAGAAATATCATGCAGATTTATTTGTTAGGTAAGTTCCATTTCTTTTCTGGAAAAGAGAGTGCCCTTTCTTTTTTTTCTTTTTTTTTTTTGAGACAGAGCCTCAAGCTGTCCCCCTGGGTAGAGTGCCGTGGCATTACAGCTCACAGCAACCTCCAACTCCTGGGCTCAAGCAAGTCTCCTGCCTCCGCCTCCCAAGTAGCTGGGACCACAGGTGACCGCCACAACGCCCGGCTATTTTTTGGTTGCAGCCATCATCATTGTTTGGCGGGTCCGGGCTGGGGATTCGAACCCGCCACCTTAGGTGTACGTGGCTGGCACCTTAGCCGGTTGAGCTATAGGCGCCGAGCCGAGAGTGCCCTTTCTAAAGTAAACACATCACAAACGACCCGGAGACCTTCCAGAGATATCTGGTTAACATTTTCTTATTTGCAATCCGTTTTGCATTGAACTTGTTTGTGTATTTATACCATGAACTCAAGAAACATAGCCTCCTCCTGGGAATAATCTGACGACCCTCCCCTCCCTCCCAGCTACTTCCTGATCCTCTTTCACCAGCTCTTTCCTGTCACCGGGCTCAGGTTGGACAAAGGGAAGACCTTATTTGACAGTTGTTTTGAGGTTGAGTGTGGAGAGATTACTTTGTTGACCCTTTTCTTGGAAGATGGGTCTGCTCTGTAGAAATCCACACATACAGGTTTATAAGGAGGCCTGGAAGCAAATGGAAACCATTTTTGCATTTTGCACATACCTCACTTACGTGTTATATTCTAGGCCGATAATGATTTTATTGAAAACACTTCCAGAAGATATTAGACACACCATGTTCTCTTTGCCTACTTACCAGCTTATCGAATGGGTCTAACACCTCCAAAATGTCACCAAGATCAGCAGGAAGCAGTTTTGAAAGATGCTGCCGATGTAACACACAGTGATTCATGCATTAAATCAGCCATTCCTGGTTACAACCCAGTGTGACCAGGGTCCACGATGGTTCTGCTTTCTTATGCTGTAGGTCATCTTCTCTGAAAGAGAAGGATGGATCTGAAATGGTCCCCAGAGACCTACAAGTCCCTGTTAGTCTAGTGGCCTAGAACCTTCAGATTAAAAACCTTGCACCTGCCAAATCACAACACAGCATGAAGAAAATGCAGTGGGCCCCTCATCGCCGTTTAGCTATAAAAATGTTCCAAGTGTCCTGGAGAGAGGTTTTGCTGGCCCGGCAGCCTGAGTTAAACAGCTTCCTTCCTGGAAACTACTCTGGCTTTCCCATAAAAATAGGAAAGGGGCATCATCATTATTACTATTTTCTAATGGCACAGGTGATAGTCTGCCTCATTAACTCAGTTCTATGGCACAAGAAGGCAGGAGAATCACCCACCTTCCCACAGTAAACCTTGTCTCAGGAGTAAAGTGAGATTTATCCCCCATCTGACACCGGGTGTGAGCTTCACTTGATGATCAGTTGGGCTCAAGTTATTTGGGGGACCCCCTAGCAATGTTGCAAGGTGGTTTACCTCACAGGTAACTGCAGCTCCCTAAAGCCTATACAGGAGTTAGGGGGCACACAGCCAGGACAGCACTGTCAGGCTCACCCCCAAAGCCAGCTCACTGTCAGGCTCACCCCCAAAGCCAGCTCACTGTCAGATTCACCCCCAAAACCAGCTCACTGCCAGGCTCACCCCCGGAGCCAGCTCTCTGCCACAGCCTTAGAGGGAGAGTATGATTTGTGCTACTCAAGTCCCTCCTTGTTGCAGTTACCCACTGAAAATGATCCATTTCTGTACATACTATGAGCTCTATACAAAGTACTAGGACATCAGGGGCACTAATATCATGTAATTTATTGAAAAGAACAAAATTGCTTAAATCCTCATTATCCAAATAAGGAATTACTGTGTGGGCCCTACAGAACTGGTTTCTCAACCAGAGTAGATCAGAAAGAGCAAGGATGGTGAGGAACAAGCAGGGTAGAGGAGTATTTCTGGAGAGCTCACAGGGTAAGTTCTAAGTGTGCAGAAAAACTGACCTCTGTACAATGCTGGCTTGAACAGGAAGGGTCATTGTAATGGCAGTAACTCTCTGTAATCTGTCATATAAGATGAAACCCTATACTTTATTCTCGGAACAGACTACAGTGTAACAGATATGTTCTAAAAATGTATCTTCTTACTACTAAGATGGTCCTGGGCCACAGGTGGGAGTGAAATGGCCCACGGAAAATCATGCCAGATGTGAACTTTGATGTGGACAAAATCTGGTAAAAAGGAACATTCCTTAAAATCACAAGAGCCAGCAATCTGAAAACAAATAAAAATAAAAGTATGTGGCTCAGCGCCTGTGGCTCAACCGGCTAAGGCACCAGCCACATACACCTGAGCTGGCGGGTTCGAATCCAGCCTGGACCCGCCAAACAACAATGACGGCTGCAACCAAAAAATAGCCGGGCGTTGTGGCGGTCACCTGTAGTCCCAGCTACTTGGGAGGTGGCGGCAGGAGAATCGCTTAAGCCCAGGAGTTGGAGGTTGCTGTGAGCTGTGATGCCACGGTTCTCTACCCAAGGTGACAGCTTGAGGCTCTGTCTCAAAAAAAAAAAAAGTATGTGGAACAGGAAGCATGGCAAAGTGACTTTTCCCTTTGTTCAGAATGGACTATTTGCAAATGGATAGGCCATAAGCCCCAGAGCTACCCGAGTCACTGAGCAATGGCAGAGGGTCTCAGAGGCCCTGGCTGCACCACAGACCCTGGGGAAGATGCCCTGGCTTCTCCCATCCTGGGGCATCTTTAGTGCCCCAACATCTGCATCAGTGACTTGTCCAAACCCTTGCAGGGTGTCCACCTCAGTGCTGCCCAGGAGGCCAGAGGAATCATCTGATGCACCCTACTTTGCTTCTACCATTAAGTCATTCCCTGACTAAAAGAAATTACTAGCACATTATCTCTTATACATAGATTCTGTGTATATAGGATTGTCTCGTGGAAATTATCCTCAATGGGAGACATAAACATCAGGTTTGGGGACCTTCTGCATGACGTGGGAGGGAAGATGGGATGAGGCAGGCGTCCCCTCTTCTCACAACGTCCCCTGCTCTCCATCTGTGTCATCAAACTGAACCCTTGGTTGTTACTTCATGGGCCATGATTGCATTTGGGCCTGTATCTCTCCTCTTTCTATCAAATTAATTATTCTCTTCCCTGCCATGTTATTTATAGGACTTAAGTAAAAACATAAACCATGGCAAGCACTGTTATTTGAAAGTGAATGTTGGGGGCAGCAGCCTGGGCTGGCTTGCTCCCTGTTAGCTGTTCTCTGCCTTTGCAGGCGGATCCCACTGGAAAACATCCCGGAGGATGAGGACCAGTGTTCAGCCTGGCTTCACAAGCTCTACCAGGAGAAGGTCAGTGCCCTGGGCTTCGGGGTCCTGGTCACATCACAGCTGTAGGGGTGCTGGTACATACCCAAAATCCTGCCCCAAAGGGAAAAAAAAATAGCAAAATCTTCTTTAAAGAGGCTTCACAAAAACCATGAAAATGTCCTACAGGCATAGTGGACCAGAGACAAAGTAATGGCCCCAGTAGCCCCTGCCCCTGTGTTCCTGCCTCTGGTCCTAGGGCTGAATATTCTCCTGGAAGAGTGTCTTCTTTAGCAATGGATATGGGATCGATTGGTTCAGAATGAACAGTTTGGCTGGCTTTCCAATCTTAAAACATCTCCAGAATAAGCAGCATGAAACTACCAGGATCCATAGTGGCCTTGGCCAGTTCAGACCTGCTACCATGGCCTTATCCTATTCCTACCAGTGACCCAGCTCCCCGATGCTCCTTTCTCTGATGATGCCTTTAGACCAGTGGTTTTCAACCTTCCTAATGCCGTGGCTCTTTAATACAGTTCCTGTGGGCCGTGACCCACAGGTTGAGAACTGCTGCTTTAGACCATCACTGCACAGAGCTGGCTGTGTGGGCATCTCCTGTATGAGCAGAGCTCTCTGGCCTCCTCTTACAAATACACAGACTACCCGTAGTAAATACAGACTAGCTCACCTTGTCACCAGAGCATGGAGTGTGCAGATTCCTGGGACCCAGCCTCAGTGGTTCTGACTCAGAAGGTGTGACATGGAATCTAGAAATGTGTGCTTCTAGGAACCCGCTTCCACTGTAGACGGTTCTAGGTGCTTCTAGGAACCTGCTTCTGCTGTAGAGGGTTCTTGGTCCTTCTAGGAACCTGCTTCTGCTGTAGACGGTTCTGATGCAGGTGATCTGAGGCCTGAAGCTTTTAAACAAGATTCTAAGTTCTCGAGCTTCTGTGCCCATGCACATCTGTGCCCCAGCAAAGAGATACAAAACAATATGAATTCTTCCCGTCTGGTTTCATCACAAGGTGGGAGTTCTCTTACTGTCTTCTGGTTTAATCATAGAGGCAACGTAAAAATATGACTTTTAGCAAAAAGAAAAGTGTGCTAAGAAAAGGCTTAAGAAAAGGATCCTTTTACAAAGAGTGACACAAAACATTCTACAATAAATGTGGGCTCTGAAACCCATCAAAGTAAAAGATTTTTCTAGATGGGCTCTTAATTTCCTGGGTGCAGCAGAACTGTGGTCATCATGGTGCAAACCAAGCTAAGAAGCACCCTCTCTTCTTGTTAAAGCTTCTTAGGATGTTTTCTCTAAACCATGCTTGCATTTGAATGCTAGCGTTCAATCTGGTAGGCTTCTCAAAAGAGTCATCTAGTCCAAAGCTCTCATACTTGACAATGAGGAAATTAAGATCCAGAGCATGATGCAGTTGGCCCAGGCTTCCAGTTGGTTAATCAAGGCCAGGTGCAGGAAGCCAGGTTCTTCTGTGTGTTGTAGAGAGAGTGAGCAGCAGCCCAGTTCTCCAAGCAGCTGTGTCTCGGAGCAGACCTGGGGGGCCTTTTTCCCTATGGGGATGATCACTGACCAGTAATTGGAAATAGTGTTTGGTCCCTACAAGCAGAACAGAGAAGGGACGATTCCCATCATGATGTGTTTCAGTGTCTGCCTTGTTTCCTGGAATGCTAGATCTGCGGCTGTACGTGCCCCAAATCCTGGTGCCCCCCCCTTCAAGCTTGTCATAGTGGGATTCCATTTTAATCATTGCCTTTTCAGAGGTATGGTGTTTGTCAAAAGACAGTTCCATCAACTTTGACGTTGGGATTTTAGCACAATATTCTTAGACTTTTTACTATCATGGACAAGTGATGTTTCTGCAGGATGGGAGGGTTACTGGACAGTCAGCAGGGGGGTGGCAGCGTTTTCTTTCATCCAGACAAGGGCACAATAAGAAAGCCACCATCTACCGCTGGCAGTTAGCAATCTCTAGCATAGGAGGGGCATCATCTCTGAAAGCATGGCCATCCCTTGAGTGGAACAAATTTAGCTTCATGAAAAATGCACAGTATTTCTTGCATGTCAGCACTGGCGACCCTGCTGGGCGTGGGCTTTGTGAAACCATCTGTACCTCGAGTGGTCTGCACCTGAACCCAGCCTCAGGCTAAACCTCTGCTCCTGGACTCACCTTTCCCCAGGAAACGGTCATCGTGTGGGGGGAACAGATTCTGACTTTCCATTTCTAACTTAAAGTACTTCTCTGGGTTGTAGTTCGATGTTTGCTGAAGGAATTAGAATTTAGCCATTAACGGTGCAAATTAAGAAATGGATGAGACTGTGGGAGGCTGAAGAGGGAGAATTACTTGAGCTCAGGAATTCGAGACTTGCCTGAGCCAGAGTGAGACCCCAACTCGTACAAAAATGAAAAACCCAGCCGGGCACCAGGGTAAGTGCCTGTAATCCCAGCAGCTTCTTGAGGCTGAGGCAGCCGGATGCCCACAGCCTGAGTCTGAGGTTGCTGTGAGTCATGATGCCACTGCACTCTGCTTAGGGCATAGTGTGGGACCCTGTCAAAAAAAAAAGAAAAGAAAGAAAGGAGAGGAAGCTGCACGCAGAGCAGTCTCATGGGTCGGAGGTGCTCACAGAGCGGCACCCTGGGATGGATGCCAGGCTGGGTGTGCACCGGCAGGGAACACTTGGCCCGTGTGCTGGCCTTCAGAAACAAGAATGAGAGTTTTTCTAGCCAGTGATGGTTTTCTCCCTTCAACTGTAAGGGCATCACTCCTTATGAGAGTGTCTCAGGCTTGGCCCCTGGCGAGCGCTTTGCACCCCACACCCGGCATCCCCGCTGTACCCCGGGTGCCCACGGGCTGCAGGGCTGGCCATGAGCCCTTCCCAGAGCCTCCCCTGCCAGACTCGCTACACAAGAGGAGCCAGTTCCTTCTTTCTGCCCTTCCTTTTTCTCTCCTTTCTTTTCTTCTCTTTCTCCTTTTCCTCCTTCTCTCCCTCCTTCCTTCCCCAAGGCCCTAGGAGAAATTGTTCCTGCTGAGCTGAGTCTCTGGGAGAGTAAAGTGTGAGCTTATGCAGGCCCTGTCTCCTCGGGCACTGGGCACCACCTGTCCTGGGGGCCTGGGGGTGGGGGGCAGAGGGCGTGTATCAGGGAATTAGCTGCCTGTCAATAGCATCTCTTTAGGATAGTATTAGGCTTACAGGTTGACGTTTCTTTCTAGAAACCAGCAGCTCCCTGTCATTGACTACACTTCCCAGCTCCACCAGATATCAAGTCACAAAACACACAGAAACAAGATCCATGTCATTTGCAATCCCTATGGGGAAAACCTTCTGAAAGGAGTCACAGGACAGAGAGTGGAGTCACAGGCCCCTAGCATTCTGCAGCTGGAGCTTGGCACTAGGCACTTGTGCCATTTCTACCCAGACATTCAGAAGTCCCCGAGGCAGTGTCACTGGCCAGTAGTGAGGGCTGTGGGAGTGAAATGTAGTTTTTAAAATAAACCAGAAAGTTAAAAAAGAAAAAAAAAAGACAACTTTGGAGTTAATCAGAAGTCTGAGCCCTGATGACTCCTAGAAAAGGGGGTGCTTTTTCTTCTCACTAGACGTTGAAATCAAGTTGTTTTACATCATGTTGTAATACTACCACAGACAGGCCCTAGCTAGGACCATTGAGGACAAGAAGGTTTTTTTTGTTTTTTTTAGAGACAGAGTCTCACTTTGTGCCCTCAGTAGAGTGCTGTGGCATCACAGCTCACAGCAACCTCTAGCTCTTGGGCTTAGGTGATTTTCTTGCCTCAGCCTCCCGAGTAGCTGGGACTACAGGCGCCCGCCACAACACCCAGCAATTTTTTGTTGCAGTTTGGCTGAGGTTGGGTTTGAACCCACCACCCTCAGTATATGGGCCCAGCGCCCTACTCAGTGAGCCATAGGCATCACCTGAGGACAAGAATTTTAAAAACACTATCTGCCCCCTTTTAAAATGGGTGAGTTTCATGGCATATGAATGACACCTCAAGAAAGCTGGTTTTTCACAAAGCACAAAAATCTCACCTCCTGACCTCATACCAGGTGCCCCGGGGCCCCAACCTGGGATAAGAAAGGTTACAGCGTCTGGCAGGAGCTCGGGACAGGCTTCCTCTCCCTGGCAGAGCTGGGAGCCACTCCTCTGGGCCTCCCTTGCCCTTGGATAACTGTCCCTGTTCACATCTTCATGTATAAAACTTGTCCCTTTATGTGGCCAGCTCTGTCTCCCTCGCTGCATGAGGGCGGAGCAATACGGCACAAAAACTGGTTCCACAATCGCTGGATTATCTGACTTCCTGAGAAACCTTGGAGGCTTCTGTGGCTGGTATCTGAGAACAGAGAGTCACATGGTGAGTGACGTTTTGGATCAGGCTTGTTGACCAGCTATGGAAAGCTGCAGGACACAGCAGAGGCACCTGAACGGCCCAACAAAGGGGCTGGGGGTCCTTCCAAAGTGGCTGGTGTGTGGACCCATTCTAACAATGACTCTGACCAGTCAGAAAGCACATTATACAGGACACCCTGAATGGGGAAGGGGAAAGTGGGGTGTCCAGCCTACAGGCCATATGTGGATTATGTGAGGACTTTTTTACTTATCTGTGGTGGCAGATACCAAAATAATCGCGCATGAACTTTTTTTTCTTTTACTTACCAGCATCTGTTAGTGTTTGTGAATTTAACATGCGGCCCGAGACAACAATTCCTCTTCCCGTGTGCAGCAGAAAAGAAAAAAGTCTGGACGCCCCCAGGAGTCGGACTTTTCTATCTTAAGTTGTTAAAGGAAAGAACCCTGCATTTAAGGTGTAAATTAACAAGTTACTTCAGTTATATGGAAGCTTGTTTGTCAGAAAACTTGATTCCATAGAGAATAAGGACAGCACCAGGCCAAGTCAGGGTCACACGCTGGGCCTGGCTGGACCACAGGCATGCTCTGTCCTGTGCACATCAGCCCCGAAGCTCTCACGGAGCTGAGTCAGCTGTCCATGTCCTTCCAGGCCCTCCTCGCAGGCTGTAGCTTGCTCTGTCAAGGTCAGCGTCCTAGCCTCATCCTCAAAGCCACAGTCTCCATCCCTCATCCCCCATTCAAACCCCACTGCAGTTGAGCTGTGGAGGTTCCTGGGCCCTGCGACGTCCCTCCTGGCCGTCAGCTGCGCACACTTTACAGATCCTGAGGGATTGGGACGTGGATGAATTGAGTGGCTCCTGCTAAGACTCTGCTCCAGGAAGCAAGGGCATGAGCCTGTTTACCAAGCAGTCTGGACAGTCACTTACAAGAGTCACTTGATTGCCCGGGGCTGGGCACATGAGGTCCTGAGTCTTCTCTGTCATCTCCTGCAAGCAATGCCCTGAAGCCCCCAAGCCTTATTGTCCACACAGCCTCCAGGTGGTGGGTGGGGGACCACAGTGAGCCTGTGTGTGGTGAGGCCAGAATGTCTGTGCAGTGTGCTGGGGTCAGGTGAATGCCACCCAATAGTCTGGGGCCTCCCGAGGGCCAGCTGCTGTGCGCTTGTTTCACTGATGGGAGCTGCTACCCATCTGACAGATAGGAGGCTCTGCCCAGGCAGGGCCTGCTCCCTGCACACAGCGTCTGCGGGAGGGGCACAGCCAGACGCGGTACCCAAAGAGCACTTTCTGAAAGGTGCTGCCCCAGTCCGCTCTGTAGAGCCCCTCATGTCCCTAAGCTTCCCTCAAGGACCCGCCGCTGAGCCCAGTGTCCTGTTATGTCCCACAGGACGCCTTTCAGGAGGAATACTACAGGACAGGCACCTTCCCTGGGAGCCCGCTGGTGCCCCCGCGGCGGCCCTGGACACTGGTGAACTGGCTGTTCTGGGCCTCGCTGCTGCTCTGCCCGTTCCTCCAGTTCCTGGTCAGCATGGTCAGCAGCGGCTCCTCTCTGACACTGGCCAGCTTTGTCCTCGTCTTCTTTGTGGGTAAGTGGGGAACAAGAGACTGGCAGTAGAGACAGTGGTGCCTACCCCAGCTGCAGGGAGGGGGCCCTCACACCCTGACGTGGGGGGGCAGGTGGAGTCCATGCTGGGGACAAATCCTGCACAGGCAGTCGTGCCACTGAGGAAAAGAAAGTGTGGCCAGCTGCCTCCTGGGGACCTGTGTTTCAGGAGAGTGCAAAGGCCCCTGTGCCCCACTCTGGACGGAAACCCCCACACCAGCTCTGCTTATCCAGCCTCCCGCTGGTGCCGCACACCTCACACTCGCCGCCAGGTGGCGGTGCAGATGCTACCCCAGCTCCTCCGAGGAGCCCCCCTCCCTGTCCCCTGCAGACAGCTCTGCACACTAGAAGCATTTGCTTTTCCTGCTGAGGAAAGCCACTTGGTGGATCGCACAGAGCCAGCACATGGATGGCTCTCTGCCCTCTGTGAGGCCTGTGAGAGCCCCTGTGCTGTAGGGAGACCGACGCTGAGGGAGGTGCTCGGGAGAGCTTCTGTCCTTGGTCCACTCCAGCTTTCTCTGATCGGTATTTTCAAACTCTTGCTGTCCCTTATTCACACTGAGGCTTGTGGACACTGCCGCCTGCCTTTGAGGTGGACAGTTCTGTGGTCGCACCAGCTTGTTACCCCATGTGTGGGTCCCCTGCTTCCCCTGCAAGGGGCCCCATTTCCCTGGCACTGGTGTCCTCTCCTGAGGCTTGTTTCAAGGGGCTGGATGTCAGCTCTATCCTTTGAAACACGAAGGTGCTCCACGCTCACTGTCAAAGACCTAGCAACATCAAGTGCGTAGTAGGACTGAAAGAGACCCAGGAAAAAATTCCCTAGCTAGCCTACCCCCCAGAGGTCACCATTACTGACAGTTTGGTGTACTCTATTCTGTGCACCATATAAATACCCATAAATGGAATTTCTTTAATTCAGTTTTTCACCTACTAATCGGTGATCACCTGGACATGTTACAGCACGCAAGGCTAGCTCATCCTTTCTGACGGAGCCAACCGATTCTAGACTGTATGGTTATAATAGGAAACTGACTCTTGTTCCTAAAATAGACCCCACTATACTCATTTTTAAAATTAAAAAATACATTTTAATGCTAAAAATTAAAACACCCCCAACTCCTTATAGGGAAAAAAAGTATAGAAATAAGAGTATAGAAAACGCCCCCCATTCGCCAGAGACAGGCCCCGAGATACCCCACTGCTACTGCTGCGCCTGAGTCCCCTGATGGGACAGCGGAAGGCAGACAGGGCCATCCTGGAGAAAGCGGCTGCTACTTCAGATGAACACAGGGGACAGGGCCTGCCCTGGTGCCTAGCTGCCTGAGGGAGAGGCCTGAACCCTGTCCAGCCCCCAGATACTGAAGTCTCCTTGCCCTGGAGTCTGACACGGACCACACTTTGCCCGAGTGACTGTGTCCCATTCCTCTCCTGTGGCCCTTGCGCAGAAGTCCATGTTTCACGTGCTCCTTTTTTGCTGTCCTGTATCAGTATTACACCCGCAGCTGGCGACATGCTCCATGGAGGTAGAGTTGGCCCCAACCAGGGTTCTCCTCATCTGTAAGTGACCTGGGAGAGGCAGGGCCCTCGGGCTGGCGGCATCTGCTGCATCTGAGCCCGAGGAAGTTCGGATGCCAGTGCCTTGTGAACCTGTGCGCGTTCTGGGAGGTTTCACTCACTCATCAGCCATCCTTAAACCTTTATCAAGGACTGTCTGCCAGGCCCTGTGTTTGGTACTGGCCTATCCAGGTGGTTAAGATGTGGCTCCTGCAGTCAAGGGGCCCACCAAATCCACCTATTCCTGAGGCGGCAGTTTAAACTGCAGCTCCCGAGTGCTGGCCTGGCCTTCCTCCTGGGGTCCTGCACCTGTCTAGTACAGGCCACTGCTGCTGTCAGGGGCAGGTGGGGCTTTGTTCACTGCTCTAACACTTGCACCAAAACCAGTGTTGGAATTTAGTGGACCCTCAAGAGATACTTGAGCTCTTGCATTTCCCAGGCTTCTGGTATGTTCTTTATAAAGCTTTGCTAAAGATGCCCCTATGAACAGCTTGGTATGGTTTCCAAATTCACCTCCAGGGTCTAAGGATGAACCACCCCACTCTACCCCACCCCCACAGCCTTCCTCTGTTTTAATGTCACTTAGACATATGTTCAAGGGTGACCGTGAAACTGGGATTATGAAATGTCACCCCAAATTCCCCAGCTCTCAGCTACTGAGTGCGCCTGGCGGACAGCCGCCCTTTCACAGGTCTCAGTGGCCATCACCCTGGAGTGTATTCTGGCTTCTGACTCTTTGCTCTCCCATCTCTGCAGCTTCCATGGGAGTCCGGTGGATGATTGGAGTGACAGAAATTGACAAGGGCTCTGCCTACGGCAACTTCGACAGCAAACAGAAACAGAATGACTGACTCAGGGACGTCTCTCCATCCAAAGGGAACCTCGGGGAACTGGTGGCCTCTGCATATCCTCCTTCCTGGGACACAGTGACAAAGGCTGGGGGAGCCCCTGCTGGGAAGAGGGGAGTCTTGGCCTCTCCAGCCAGGGAGTTTGGTCTCAAAGCTGAACTGGGAGGAGGATGCTCTTAAATCCCCCCACCCCACATTCATTAGTGGGCTCCGGTTTTCTTTCTTTTTGTGTGTGTGAGCGAATGGGTGTGAGGACAGGTGAGCCTGTTCTGTGATAATTTCAAGGAGGTTTTAGGCTGCAGTGGGGGCAGGGCTGGGGACCAAAGGGAGCAAGTATTCCCTTTCATCCTTTGGTGCTGAGTTTTCTGTTAACCCTCAATTGCCAGAGACAGAGTGAAAAGTGCTTTAGGTAAGATGATTAAATTATGCCTCAAAAAAAAAAAAAATTAAAGTGCTTGTCTGGGTTACCTGTGGTGTATATTTACACAGACTGCTCCCCCTCCACTCCTCCCTCTACCCCATGTTTTGGTGTTCCAGAGCTCACAGGAGGGTTAGGGAGCTGTGGGACCCTTCAGAGAGGTGGGTGCCCATTAGCATGTGACAGTAACAGGGCCTCTGCAGGGCAGCTCTGGTTCTCAGCCTCACTGCAGTGAGGTCTCCTGCAGTTTTGAAGATGGCACCAGTTCCCTGAAGAAACCAATCAGCCTGGGAACTCTGTGGTGCTGTGCGAGGTGAGCGCACCCACTGGTCCTCTCAGCAGTGAGAGCAGAAGCTGGGTCTCCCAAAGGGCAGGTTCACCTGATACAAACACCTGGCCCTTTCCTGCACCTACCGCACAGCTACAGCACTAAAGAGCCAGGTGCTGCTCTGATAGGTCACATCGGGGCAGCCAGCACAGTCGTGCACCTGGGCACTCGTGTTTTCCTCCACTAAAGAGGCAAGTATTGCTGACAGGTCACACTGGGGCGGACGGCACGATTGTGTTCCTGGGTGCCCGGTTCCTCCAGTAAAGAGTAAAGGGCACCTCCAGGGGGCACTGCAGGAAGGGCCAGGGAGAGGACCTCCGCAGACGGTCAGTCAGAAGAGGCCAAATGCAAAACAAGAAGGAAAAAGAGTGATATTTTCAAAGGAGGACAGTTAAGTCCTCCTGCCCTGTCATCCTGGGCCGAGGCGCCAGAGGCACTTGGATCTGTGGGTGTCTGCACGAGACCAACAGAGATGGCTTCCCCATTCCCGCTCACTGGGGTGATAGAAGGAATGAACACACGAAAGGCACATCATACAGCCCTATTTTTAGATGTTTGCTCATTTAGTCACCCAGTGTTCACCAAGCATAACTGAACTAGATAAGCTGAGGAGTTACAACAGTATTAGAGAAGGTCTTCTGAAACAAATGAAACGAATCTGCAGAAAAGGAACACACCGTGGCTTGCTGGTGGGGCAGGTGAATCAGAGCCCAGGCTCTCACTGCAGAGCCAGCGTGCCGCCCACCCTGCATAAGGGCGGAAGCACAAAGCACGGAGACCCTGGGCAAAGGCAAGAGGGGCCTTAGGAAAGCCTGGCTTTGTGGAGTATGTGGTCTGAGGGTCCACACCTGGATATGAGGGCCGTTCTCTCAGCGGCGGCCTCTCAAGTGTCTGTAATGTGGGCTACACAGAACCCTGCCCTCTGCTCGCTGTAAGATCTGAGCAAACCATTTCCTGCCAGACTCCACCTTCCCCCTCTGCAAAATGGGGATGGCAAGGCCAACCTGCTGGTGCGTCAGGGTAAAAAGAGGCACGTTTTACGAATCTGAGGCCACTGATCAAGCAGGTGGTAAAAGATTAGAAAGCTGCCTCCATTAGAAACTTGCTCTTGCCAAAAATGCCAGAAATTTCCTGCAATACTAAAAATGTGTCATTTTTCTTTCTTCCATTCACTATAGAGGTAATCCAAGTTCTAAAAACATCCATTCATCCCCTGCTTCCACATGGGACTTAAAATGGGGCCCACATTCAATTTTGTTCTGAATCAGCTCTGGTACCAACAAAGGGTGCTGCCAGCACCTCAGGGCCAGGCTGGAGGGGCAGGCAGAAATTTCTAGGAAAGAACAAAGTGCCACTCTCGTTGGAACTGCCTTAGAACACAGGAGAGAAGGTTGCGTGTTGGGGAGAGGCCCTGACACGCCCTCCCTGGCCGCCAGAGCCTTCCGTGCAGGAGGGCATCCTGTGCAGCTGGGGCCTGGTTCTCCTTCCACTCTGCTGCCTTCATAACACAGACCAGCATTGGTGCCCCTGGAGGCTCTTGTCACTCTGTGTCAAATCTATGACCCAGTCACACAGAGGCCACAGTCTCTTCAGCAGAGAACTATTCCAGCTCCCAGCATATTTGTTTTCCTGTGAATTAAAAGCCCATGGAGTTAAGCAGAGCACCACGGACTCAGGGCTACATTTCCTGTCTCGCGTCTCCATCTCGATCGTTGTCACCTACCTACAGCCTCTTCTGTGACTCATTGTGGCAGAGAAAAATACAGCCTGGCACTGAAATCTGGAGAGTGATGCAGAGTTGTCTCCAGATACTAAGGGCCATGTCCTCGTCATTCAGTTCTGCCACTGTCGTCAGACTTCTTTTATGTACCTGAAGGTAGGAATCTGGTGAAATGCCAGGAAACCAAGCCCCAAAAGCTCCTTACTAAAACCCACCCATCATGTGGCAGCTGCAGCGTGAAGCTTGGGGAAGCGGATGGACTGTAACTGGGTTCAGCTGGGCGAGGAGGCCCCACGGCTGCGTGTGAGCAGGCCCACTGCCCTGTCCACCGTCATGGAGAAAGCACTGTCCAGGGACCCCAGGACCAGACACCTCATCACTGCTGTGTTCTCTACAGACACGTAAGGCCTTGTGATATATTTTGTAAGTGAAACTAAAGACTGTGATTTAAAAGTAAAATCCAGGGATAATTATTGTCCAGCCAAAATTTGGAATCACTGATGTGATGGATACAAAAAGTGCCCGGCAGCTTCTGGTCACTCCCCCAGGGGAGTGGAGCAGTGGTCTGTCTGGTCCCTCAGCAAAACAAAAGGGGCTCTGCACAGGCTTGGGAACTCACACGTACGGACAGCAGTGCTGAGAAAGGCACCGAGTGAAAATCGCCTGGGTACCTACTCCTGCTCAAAACAAAAACCTTAACCCAACTTTCTCTAGAGCACTGGTCTAGACTGTTCATATTTCATTAGGTTAAAGACAAAGTGAGGAAAACAGAATGTGGGTTTAGCAGGTTTTTTCAAGGGCCACAGACTGTGGCACGATGACCTACCCTTTGTCTTTCAGAGAGTGACAAAGCAAGGCAGGCCACAGTTCCTCCTGCCTATGCCATAGCTGTTAGACGACTGCACCCTCTCCCAGAGTGTGCAGGGAGGCACCTGCCAAAGCGTGAACCTCCCAGTCACTGCACACAGGTCCCTCGGCTACCCGCTGGGGAGGGGTCTCCCTCCACTGGTGGCCGTGTTTTACAATGGCTTAACCAAAGTGTTTCTTAAGTGCTGTTTACAGAGAACAAAACAGAGCGAGTGTAAGGGCAGCATGCTCACCGAGGCGCTGGCATCACCACACTTTCTGACGCCTCCAGTCTTCATGCCTTGGCAGGGGGCCGAGGACAGGTGACTCCGACCGAGACCGGCCTGCTGATATCCCTGGCCCTTGTTCTAATAAGTACTCTCACAACAAAAATGGTTCTGCTGGAGTAAGAGATCTTCCCCAGCTGAGAGCGTGTCTAGGTCTGGAAGCACAAGCCAGCCGTCCCAGGCTGAGGCACAGGAGTCCACGAGGATACCCAGCCAAGAGCAGCATCCAGCACCTCAGACTCGGTCACCGTTTGCCGGGCTGGGGAGCCGCCTAGGGCCTTCAGGCCAGCGTGTTTGGGGCAGAGGCGCCTTCAGGAATCCAGGGCAATGTGTCCGTGGGGATGCCCTCGGCGATGCGTCCGTGAGGATGCCCTCGGCGATGTGTCCGTGGGGAAGCCCTCGGCGATGCGTCCGTGGGGATGTCCTCGGCGATGCGTCCGTGGGGATGCCCTCGGCGATGCGTCCGTGGGGATGCCCTCGGCGATGCGTCCGTGGGGTGCCCTCGGCGATGTGTCCGTGGGGATGCCCTCGGCGATGTGTCCGTGGGGTGCCCTCGGCGATGCGTCCATGGGGATGCCCTCGGCGATGTGTCCGTGGGGATGCCCGTGAACGGCGCCTAGAGGCCTTTTGTTTCTGAGCATCCCACAGGGAAAGGGCTGAGCTGCTTTCCTGGATTTCTCCCCCCTCCATAAACACACGGTGAGTATGTGAGTGAAAAATTGGTTCAGCTTAGTAGGGTGTTTTCCTAAAAATATCTTTAGAGTTTTAACTGAAAAATAATTTTTTGACCAACTTTCTCTTTTTCCCCCCTTTTCCAGGATAAATAGGGCTCAAATCACATCCTTCATGTACATGACAAAAAGGTCAGGCAAAAAGTACATGTAAGGGCCAGTCCCTCTGCCCTGAAAACTGGGTCCCGTGAGGGGCTTGGTCACTGCAGAACCCCGAGTCAGCACTGTCCTGCCAGCTCCCGCCTGCCCAGGAGGGCCACGCCCCACCTCTCTAGGTCACACCCTCAGCATCTCCCACTCCTGCATCCCAGGCTGGGCTTCTGGGTGTTTCTACAGTTTCAGGTAAATTTAAACAAAAACCAAACACTCCAGGTGTTCTGGGGCCTTGTCCTATCACAATGGCTTCGGAAAGCCCTGGACCTCACACGTGAGAGAAGGGTCAGGACTGAGGGCATGTTTTGCCTCTCGGCCCAGGACGTTCCACACCATTCATAGTGCTGGTCCCCAATCAGCAGTGTCTGATCATGATATTCAACTGTTTGAAATTACCATTATTTTGGTCAAAAACAGTAGGATGTCAGAAATTTGGCCCGAACAGTTTGTGTCCTATTAGTCTGTCATCCCAAGGGTAGGCCCGGGGCCACCATCCTGCCTGCAGCCTCCTGCAGGCTTCCACATAGTGGCCTCCCAAACATTTTGCTACCTGAAGAGGGATGTGATTCTGAAGCCTAGATGACTGAATTTCAGTTGTCTTTTGATTCTTTTTCCTGAAGTAAATAAGAACTTTTCTGAAGAACCATTAGATCAAAATAAACTCAAGGACTTCACACCCAGTCCCTACTCTGAAGCTCCTGCGTTACCAGTGACCAAGCAGAGCTGCCCCCCAGGATCAGCGGCTCCCAGCCAGGCCTCTTGGTGCCTGCAGCCTTGGGCCAGTTTCATATTAGGACCGTGAGTGGTGAAAAAGCATTTACTAAGCACCTACTTAGATCATTTCAGTATCTAGAAACATCTCTGAGGGCTGTGTTAATAAAACTTTTCATTGGGTAAGGCTCATACAACTTTTACATGTAATTTTTTTTCATATACACAGTCTTGTTTTACATGCTAGAGTAACTAGCTACTTTTGAAATTTCT